AGTGTGTGCAATGGCTGAAAATATGTTCAAGGCAAAAGAATTATTAGAAAAATTTATGGCTGGAAATTGTTGTAAAGTATTTTCTAAGGTATTTTACGAGGCATTTTGTAGAAATTGATTTTTTGCTTATTGAGGGTTTGATTGCTGAATCATGAAGGGGAATGCAAGAGGACCTATAGGGGCTGTAAGAAATCAAATGGAACAAGAGGCTTGGAAAGCTGTTAAAGAAGAATTTTTGAAATAAATGATTGCTATTGTAATATAATATACTAAATAAAAATGTACTCAATAGGGAAAAGCAGCTGCAGGCATCGCAATTAAATTGAATTGACTTCAAGAGTCTAAGAAATGAAAATAATTTCGAACCTTTCCTAGAGATTTTTGCCTAAATATTTTTTGCTTATTTTGAGAACAAATAAATAAATAAATGCAACAGTTATTTGCATTTTTTATATTTACTTATATCAAAAGAATTTTAATATTTGCGTTATTTATTTATTTAGACTTAAAAATAAATTAAACTCAGGACTCTTTGAGTTCGACGGGCTTACACGGGCTCAAAGAATAAAAGTACGCACAAATGTCGCCCTGACCAGGGATATATATTTACTTATTTTGGCTTTCCTCCTGCTGTGTATTATCGACATTTATATAGAGCCATACCATTATGCTCTGATTTCCATTTTCACGGAATTTAATGTAAATATATATCAAGAAATATTTTTATTTAACGAAAGGCTGAAACTTCACATCGATTTTATAATATTTAAATTTTGTTTATTTATTCACCTCATTTTTAATTTTCTTTTTTTCTTTTGCTATTTATTTCTTACATTTATAGCTGATATATATATGTATATCATATGTCAAACATATTTACGCTGTGCGTTTTTATTCGTTTTTCCAATGATTTATTGCGAAAATTTCATTAATTTGCTGCTTTGTCATAAAACTCGCGGCAGTATAAGAAAATATATATTTACTTTTTATTTTATTTTCGTACATACATACATATGTATGTGCATGTATATATAATGAAATAAATTTGATTGGCATGAGTGCGTGCGGCGCATTGGTGTTAAACAAATTTTATAGCCCACCTATGGGCGCATACTTCTATAAGCGACTGTACACGCGTATCTACGGGCTGGCGAAATGTATTTACGACCGAAAAACTCATTATACGCGCTGCCTGCTGGAATTTTAAAATACATATATACATATATAAAGCACATATATACGAAAAGTATATAGATACATATATCTTTGCTGTATTGTATTTGCCAGTTGTTACGCCTTGTCTGTTTTGCTCAATGTCAAAGAACACGTGTTTTATTCTCTACTTGTTTCGCTATCCTGCGGAACGTGTCAAAAATTAAAAGTGCCCAGAGACGATGAAATTCGTGGGGGCCCAGCGAACTTTCTAAGCAAATCCAGAGCCAGGCAGGGATCGTGTCCAATTTGGTGTCTGTGGGGCTGCGATGCTGGTGGTGCGTACAACAACAACTTATTACACATACGCAGCGTGCGCGCCCAAATAAGTATGCTATAGGAAATTTACTTTTTTCTAATTTACGCCTTGCGTGCGCCTCGGCTCCGACGGAGCCTGTGGTGGAGCTTTTTCCATTAAGTCTGCAGCTGGCTTCGTCATAATTCATGCGCTCGCCGGGACACACACGCACACACACCCACACCCACACACATGGGGAGAATCACAGATTGGGGCCATGTTAATTTGTAGGCCGCTGCAGGCGGAAGTCCTTTTGGGTCTTTAAACGCAAATGAAAGGCAAACCGAAGCTTTTACTGCTGCCATGAGCTCATGTATCATTTGTGTATGCGACGCAGCCAAAGCTAACCCTCTTAACGTTCACCCCCTCCCTCCCACCATTTCCATTCTGCTTGGGGTTTCTTTGTGTGCGTGTTGCTCTAAATTAGATTTTCATTTGCGTGGCCCACTGACGTCCTTCACCACGCGACTCTTTTGTGATACACTGCGCCCACTTAGACTTTATGACCCGACACATAAAACCCTTTTGAACCTGACCCCAGCGTACATTTCGCCAGCTTTTGTGCAAAATCAATGCCAAAATTAATTAATCCAAATTAGTGCAGCTATAAACTAGGCGCTACATAAACTTTGCCCACATGTCATGTGTGAAACATATATGTATATTCGATTTCTTTTTATTCCTCTGCATTTTCTTGTTGTTTTATATTTGACAAATTTATGCGCTTTTAAGAGTTCCCAAATAAAAATCCAAGCCAGAAAAGCATGTATTTTTATTATTATTATTAGAGAAGCGTGCGTCAAAGCCAGACTAAGTCAGACGGCTCCCAGTCTCGGCCTGCGCCTGTCAACAGCTGTCAGTTGCAATTTTTTATTGATTATAGATGCTTGGAGCGGCACCACAAGCCTCTAT